TTCACGTTTTCCCACATTGGCAAAATGTTTTCCTGGAGGACTTTTCTTATCCAGAGAAACAAACAAAAAAAAATCACTCAAGGCAAGATGGGGCATGGCGGCCAGGCCGTTTTGGGTCAAAAACTGCTGAACTAGTGCATGGTGTGGGCAGGTGGTTTCGTCAATCACTCATCATGACATGGGCAAATGTGCTGAAAGAATCTCCAAAAAAAAAAAAAAAAAAATTCACTGAAGCTGATCGCAACCTCTCAACAACACTTGTTAGTACACTGATGCTGATGGGTTCCTAGAACACTTACGTAGCGGGGGGAGCCTGTTCTTCAAGGGGCCCGCCCTCTAAAGATAATTCCAGGTTTTGGGGGAGTCCCTCCTCATATAATGCTATAATGCGTCGCTTTCAAAATACATCTCACAGACTTGGCTTGTACATGGAGAAGGGGTCCACTAATTTACAACCCAACAGATGTGGGTCCAATTCTGATACACCAGACAAGTAAACTGAGGCAAGGGTAGATTATATTGCTTTGAGTCTCTCTTTCTATCTTATAAAATATAATCTACCCTAGGGAGAGAATTGGAATTTGAACTCACACTCTCAGAAGCTTACAGTCTGCTGTTTAATGAAGAGGTACAACGGTTGATGTCATGAACTTGGAGTCAGACAGATCTATAATTAAGCTCTACTTCTATCGATAATTAAATATGAGACTTTGTCCATATTCCTGAAACCCCTGGAAATCTTGGCTTCTTTGTAAATAAAATAGAGTTTTTAAAAAATGGCTGGGGCTTGGTGGCTCAGCCTGCAATCCCAGCACTTTGGGAGTCCGAGGCGAGTGAATTGCCTGAGCCCGTGGGTTCAAGACCCGCCCGGGCAACTTGGCGAGACCTCATCTCTACAATAAATCAAAAATTAGCCGGGTGTGGTGGCGCATGCCTGCAGTTCCAGTTACTTGGAAGGCTGAGGCGGAAGGATCGCTGGAGCCCAGCAGGTTGATGCCTGGGTGGTCATGACTGTGCCACTGCACTCCACCCTGGGCAACAGAGTGAAACTCCAACTCAAAAAAAAAAAGGGGGGACCTTGTCCATATTACTGAAACCCCTGGAAACCTCAGCTTCTTTATAAATAAAATAAAGTTTAAAAAAAAACTACAACCTAAGAGGGCTGTCATAAAGATCGAACGAGATGATATTCTAGGCAAAGCGCTAAGTCTAATATCCAGCACATCGTTGTAAGCCTTATCTAGCATTGCAGCCCTAAAGATGAACACGGGTACCAGTGGTCGGAGATGCGCTTAGGCAAACTGCAGAAGTCTAATTTCTTAGCTACAGCCAGATTCAGCCGAGGAATGTCCCGGCCTGGGCCACATCTGTACACTTCCAGCTCAAGTGTTGGTGCAAGCCCGATTCTAGTCTGATCCCTACCCTGGATTTCTTTGGGAAACATGCAACAGTGTCCAGACAAAATCACAACATCCTGTGCTCAGGCTACCACCCTGCAGGAACAATAACAGCTGGTCTCTAAAGGAGGGGAAGCAGGACAGTAGAAAGGGCATTGGTCCACTGCACCTGGCTCTGGGAAATGCTTGTGAAATCCCCACATTCTGGAGAGCAAAGTATCTCCTTCAGTACAAAGAGCTAGGAAAAGAGTCTTAAAAAAGGAACAGAATCCCACGATCAATGGTCTGGAGAAATTCCTCTGAGATACTAACAGGCCCTGAATATAAACAGTAAGCAACTTTTTAAGCTATCAGTTGTCATTCATACCCCTTCAAACAGAACACACACTTAAGATTTTTATCAGGGAGGTAAGATTTTCATAGAAAAAAAGTAAATGCAGGCCTGGCACAGTGGATCCTAACTGCAGTCTCTGCACTTTAGGAGACTGAGGCAGGAGGATTGCTTGAGCTTGGGAGTTTGAGACCAGCCTGGGAAGCATAGCAGGACTTCACCTCTAAGAAGAATCTTAAAAAGTAGCCAGGCATGGTGGCATGCCCTGGAGCCCTAGCTACTCAAGAGGCTGAGGTGGCAGGATCATCTGAGCCTAGAAGGCTGAGGCTGGTGAGCCATGATTGTGCCACTGCACTCCAGCTTGGTTGACAGAGTGAGACCTTGACTCTCAAAAAAAAAAAAAAAAAGGCAATCTACAGATTGGGAGAAGATATTCACAAACTATACATCTGACAAAGGACTCATCCAGAATCTATAAAGAACTCAAACAAATGAGCAAGAAAAATGCAAACAATCCCACTAAAAAGGGGGCAAATGACATGAACAGACATCTCTCAGAAGAAAATACACAAATAGCCCAAAAAATATGAAAACTGTTCACCATCACTTGTAATTTAATGCAAATTAAAATCACAACGAGATACCACCTTATACCAGTCAGAATGGTCATTATCCAAAAAATCAAAAAACAATAGATGCTGGTGTGGATGCGGAGAAAAGGGAACATTTACACACTGTCGGTGAGAGTGTAAATTAGTACAACCTCTATGGAAAGCGGTGTGGCGATTATTCAAAGAACTAAAAGTAGATCTACCATTTGATCTGGCAATCCCAATCCTAGGTATCCAACCTAAGGAACAGAGGTCATTATATAACAAAGACACCTGCACCCACATGTTCATTGTAGCACAATTCACAATGGCAGAGATGTAGAATCAACTTCAATGCCCACTAACTGATCAGTGGATAATGAAAATGTGGTATCCATACACTATGGAATACTTCACAGTCACAAATCATGTGAATGAAATCATGTCTTTTGCAGCAACATGGATGGAGCTATAGAGTTCGTCATCCTAAGTGCACTGACCCAGAAACAGAAAACCAAACACCACATGTTCTCACCCCTTTGTGGGAGCCAAATAGTCACAAAGATGGAAATAATAGACACTGGGGACCCCTACAAGCGGGGAGAGAGGAAGGGAGTTAGAGTTTAGAAGCTACCTATGGGGCTCAATATTCAGTATGTGGGGATGGACCACCTGAGATCCAATCCCACAGTATGTACATGTAACGAACACACATATGTACCCCTTGAATCTAAAATTTAAAAAACGTAAATATAAGGTGATAATAATCACGATAATAATAATACTTAATTGTCAAGCTCTCACTCTGAACCGGGTGCTTTGCATACACAAATGCTTCACAAGAACCCACAGGCTAGCTATTATCCCTGTTTTAAAGATATGTAAGCTGAGTATCACAGGGTTGCAGTCATGTTCTCAAGGTTATGGTTAATAACCAAACTAAAATCCATGAACCATATCACTGCCACCTGCATGACCTATGAATGGGCTATAAGGTTTCATGCCACTTCTTTTTTTTTTTCTGAGTTGGAGTGCAGTGGCATGCTCATGGCCACTGCAGCCTCGACCTGCAGGGTTTAGGTGATTCTTCTGCCTCAGCTTTCCAAGTAGCTGGAACTATAGACACACGCCACTATGCCCAGCTAGTTTTTGTGATTTACTGTAGAGACGAGGTCTCACCATGTTGCCCAGGCTGGTCTCGAACCCTCTTGAATCGCCTCAGCCTCCCAAAGTGCTGGGATGACAGGCTGAGCCACCAAGCCCAGCCTCATGCTACTTCTAAATGCCAGAAACTTTGATATTGTTTGTTTTTTCAGGTAGATTTGGATTGAGAATGTCAGGCTCAGTGTTTAGAGTCTAAGGACCTGCATCTCCCTCAGAGTCAGGAAACGCTCAGTCTTTTAGAGCAAAGGACATCTCACAGACAGTCAGTGATGGAACTGGACACTGGGGAGGAGGCGTATTTTCCACACTGTTTGCTCTTCTGTAGACCAGCTCAGGCCCTGGCTATTTTTGTCTTATGTTAAATGCCATCATTCTTGCATCCCACTTGTTATTTGCCCCCTCTCCTGCCAATCTCACTGCTAAATATCCCGGTTCATGAAGCTTCCTGGGCTACTCTTTATTCTGTGTAGCCGCAGGTCCTGAATTCAGATTCTGCTCATTTACTTATCTCCTCACCAAATTAGCACTTCCCCACCCTTGATGTCACAACTACCAAGCATCGTGTCATTCCATTCCTGGTGCAGTTTTTGAAGATTATCTGTCTCATTCAACTTGACACTGACCGGCCTTACTGATATGTTAAATATACAGCCCGACGCAAGCAAATATTTCATATAAGCCATTCGTTGAAATTAACATAGTGACTGAAATTAGACATGAAATTTATCATCATCATTTCAACAAGTGGAATGCTATCCTAAAAGTCAGAACTTGGGAGAAACCTGAACTTAACGTTCCTGCAATGAACCAAAATGTCTGTCTCTTAACTCTACAGTACACATTTTTCATTATTTAATTTTACAAAAATATAACCTATTGCTGATTGTTCAAAAACAAATTTTTAGAAGATGTTTTCATAATCCCATACCCCTAATATAAAATGAATCTTTTCTATAAAAGACTTCCTAGTCTTTTTAAAATCAGTTTCACATTTAGCATATTTCACATGATCACATATGTATAATTTTGCCTTTTTTCCCTATCACATGCTAAGTTGTTTTCTAATCATAATTTACTAATCACTTCAGTATCATTGAATATTTAGGCTGATGGAGTGTCTTTGCTATGACAAATGTTATGAAACAGTTTTATGCATATAACATTCCCAACATTTTGACCAGGCATGGTGGCTCACACCTGTAGTCCTGGCACTTTGGGAGGCCAAGGCAGAAGAATTGCTTGAGCCCAGGAATTCAAGACCAGGCAACATAGCAGACCCTGTTTCTAAATAATAATAATATAATTAAATATCCCAATATTTGAGATGATTTACCTAGCCTAGATTCCCAGAGGTGGTATTACTGTGTCAACTTTGCATGTTGCGATCTTTCTAATTCCTGCAAAAAATCCAAAGCCTCCATTGAAGAGGTGCCATCCCCCTTACAGCTTTCTCTGAAACCAGGACCCAGCTCTGAGCCACCACCACAGACCTGAGGGAACTCAGCAGCCAGTACTCACCTTCCCCTCGCCCACTGCCCTTCTGCCTGCTGTTGTGAAGTGGGGGCACCTCCAGCGAGGCGATGCCTGCTGTCTCCAGGATGCTCACGTCCACGGTCAGCCTCCCGGCCAGCTGCTGGGGTCGCACACTGATGACATGCTCGTACTTGCCAAGGCGTCGCTGCAGAAGTTCCTCATAGTTCAAGAAGAAGGCGGCTTTGTCCTTGCTGGGAATCACCAACGAAGCTCTGAACGTCTCAGTCCCCTTCTCCCTGTCAAGAGAGAAAGGATCCCAGGGAGATTGAGGGTAGGGTAGAGCCGATCAGGGCACCGGCCACACCCTCTCCACCAGCCTGCCAGGGAGGCCAGTGGGCAGGACAGTGTGAGTCCTGAGAAAGGAAAAATAAGTTAATTTTGGAAGAAGTAGAGACCCACGCTGGAGGAAGGTTATCAAGGGTGGAAGGATACCGAAGAGGAGAGAATTCAGAGACTACTCACCTCTCCTGCCTCTCCGAGACAGACCCAAGGGGCCGTGGGGAAAGGGAACATTTAAGTAGGTGAACTTAAACGAACAGAGAGATTTAGAGTCAAGTTTGGAATTGAGTTCTTTCCTTTATAGGGATGATCAAGTGAGCTCTGACATCACACGTTGCTTTAACATAGCTAATTTATTAGGTTGCCACACCTTGGTGAAGTTTGGGATGTGTGTTTGGAAGGAAAGACAAGGAATTGAGGACTGCAAAGCTTACAAAAATACAAACCATTCTGGATGACTTCGGTCCTTGGAGTGAGGGTTTCATTATTCAAAATGGCAGACTGACCCCCAAAGGACTAAGCACGGGAGGGACAACCATGAGTGGGTAAGACACTTCAGAAAGTTTCCAGAAGACTCGGGGGATTCAGCAGAGCAAGAACTCAACAGCTAAGAATATGCTGGAAGGGACCGCAGCAGAGCCAAACTGTCTGGCAGAATCTTAGGGAGACGAATTCAGGAGGATGTCACAAGATGGAATGGAGTAGGGGAGGACCGGTGGGAGGATAATTCCAAGCCCATAGATGAATGATTGACTAAACTGATAGGGGCAGACCATGGTGCCTCATGCCTGTAATCTCAGAATTTGGAGTGGCCAAGGCGGGAGGATTGATTGAGGTCATAAGTTTGAGACCAGCTTAGGCAACAAAGTGAGATATTGTCTCTATAAAAAATTTTTTAAAGAAAATTAGCCAGCCATTGTGGTGTGTACTAGTAGTCCTAGCTATTTGTGGGGTTGAGATGGAAGGACAGCCTAAACCCAGGCTATAATCATGCCACTGCACTCCAGCTTAGGCATCAGAGTAAGACCCTGACGAAAAAAAAAAAAAAGAATAAAAACAACTAACAACTAAGCTGATAGCCTTCCTCTATTCCTCTTTCCCAGAACTGAAAAAGAGACACTAGTACTGAGATGAGAGGGTTAACTGAGCATAGGGAAAATGAGTGAAAAGAGACTGACACCTAAACTCATTATTATAAAACTTGAGAACATCAGAGACAGAAAAGATGTAAAAGGGATGATGTTAGACCACATTAGACGTATCATCAGTAATACTAGATGTCATAAGACATTGCAGCAATGCCTCAAAGTTCAGAAGGAAAAGTATTTTGACCTAAAATTCCATACAAAGCCAAAAAAGTAATCAAGGTCTCATAAGTTTAACTTTCATGAACCCATTTTGAGAAGGTTACTTCAGAAAGTACTTCAGTCAAGTAAAAGGTGAAAACCAAGAAAGAGGAAAATGTAGAATATAAGAAATAGAATAATCCAGAAGAAAATGAAAATAAGTCCCAGGGTAAAAGTTTTGCAACAAGGCTGCAAGGCAATGATAATATTTCAAGGATCAGGAGACATACATGCTTTAACAGCCTGGAAATCAGAATGTCTTCTAATCAGTGATGTCTTTGAATTACTGTTGGTCAGGCATTGGGGTAGCATCTATGTTAAGATAGTAGGGATCATCCAAGATAGTTTAAGTACTGTGGAATTGATGGAAGAAGAAATAAAATAATAATGTAAAATTTTGGAATGCAGAAGAAAAGTAAGAGTATTATAAATTTGCTAAATTCTCTTTCTTCACAGTCAAAACTCAACAGATAATGTCTTATCTTTACCAAGAAATCAAGAAAAAGCATGACTAACATAATATTCAGAGTTAGGAAGGTAACTACACAGAAAACTAAATACAGAAATCTTAGAAGTGAATGCTTCTTTTTTTTTTTTTGAGTTGGAATCTCACTCTGTCACCTAGGCTGGAATGCAGTGGCATGCTCATGGCGACCTCAGCATCAATCTGCTGGGCTTAGGTGATCTCCCTCCGCCTCAGCCTTCCAAGTAGCTGGAACTACAGCCACATGCTATCACACCTGGCTAATTTTTTAAAAATTTATTGTAGAGACAAGGTCTCGCCAAGTTTCCCGGGCTGGTCTCGAACTGCAGGCTCAGGCAACCCCCTCGACCTCTCAAAGTGCTGGGATTACAGGCTGAGCCACTGAGCCCAACCAGAAGTGAATGTTTCTAAGTGAGAACTGAGACATGGGAGTAGTAAAATTTTTCTTTTTATTATAAACACATATCTACTATATTGATAACCAGATATATTTATTATTTTGGTTTAAAAAATAGGCTGGGCATGGTGGTTCACGACTGTAATCCCAGCACTTTGGGAATCTGGGGTGGGAGGACTGCGTGAGTCCAGGAATTCAAGACCGGCCTAGGCAACATAGTGAGACCACACCTTTACAAAAATTTTTTAAAGAAATTAGCCGGCCATGGTGGCGGCTACCTGTAGTCCCAGCTACTCAGAAGGCTGAGGCGGAATGATCACCTGAGCCCAGGAGGTCGAGGGTGCAGTGAGCCAAGACTGGGCCACTGTACTTCAGCCTGGGCGACAGAGTGAGACCCCAACTCAAAAAAAAAAACAAAGAAGAGAGAGAGATAAATACTTGGAGGAAGGGAAGAGAACAGGATGAGCAGGCAAAGGGTGGAAAACCGACACTTTGCTGAAATGGACTTTTAACTTCTTAGTGAACCACAACTCACCCATTCTCTTCTGTGGTTTTATTCCTTTTCTCTTTTACTCTGTCGCCATTCTTCTTTTCTCTCCCTGTAATTTCGCCCTGATACACCTTATCTCCGATAAGCCTGAAACACAAGAGACAGCTGTGCCACCACTTGCACTTCCAGGACAAATTCAGAACATGGATCTTATAACCATGACAACCCTGGAAAATATTTTTATTTGGATATGCATACAGCAAGCATTCCAGACTAGGGCACCACCCTCGAATCATTCATTTCATTCCAGGGTAATTTTCCACTGGTCCAAATGGTAAGACCCAACCCGTGGTGCCCTATGATCCTCCAGGAGGAAATCAACCGTCAGATCTGCTCCAACTCCATGAACACCCACCAACTTGAGTTGAGTAGGAGAAGGGCCGAAGACTTGACAGCTTGCTGAAATGGATTTGTAATCCCACTGCTTACCCATGATTATTATTTTGATTTCATCCAGACCAAAAATGAAACCCAATGCCAGCGCCATTTTGCATATCGTCACTTCCTGGATCAGAAGAAGAGGAAACACACTGAATCTCCGATGTCAAAGGTTCCATGCTGCCTTGCCGTGTGAGGACTCAATGTAACCACGGCCTCCTCAAAGCTACCCCCTGATCTCCCTACCTAAAGAAGTCCCACTCAGTCTGACTTGCCATCTTTATAACATTCATGACTGTCGCATATTATCTCATTTATTACATTGTATACTTACCTGTCGACTCTTTCTCCCCACTGGAGTTTCTGAAGCAGAGTGATATTGTCTTTTTCATACAAGTATACCAATCCTCTTGAAGAATTGGACACTCGATTGTTGGAAGGAAGGAAAGAAAAAGGAAAAGGAGGCAAGAAAGGAAGGAAGAAGACAGGGATAGAATTTAAAAAGAGGGCAGAAAGGAGGAAGGAAGAAAGGAAGGGAGGGAAGAAGGGAAGGAAAGAATGAATGAACAAGTGAATGCATGAACAATTCAGCAAAGGAGTCAACCTTCTGATCCATATACCATCTACTGGGATATAAACCCGCAGTCAAGAGACTGCAGGCCTCACACTATCTCAGGCTCACCCTGACTCCCCACATAGAAACCTTCATCTCTGACCAGCGTGTCACTTACATGGTGAAGTTGGTGATGAAAGCCGCAGCTGGAATCTGCATCTGGAACTCAACTTGCTGGTCCTCGGAAGCTCTGTTCAGCATTCTGCAGGTGACCGTGGTGAAAGCATAGCGAGAAATGATGGTGGACTTCACTGAGAATTCTGTCATCAACGGTTTGGTTTTCTGTAGGAATCAAAACACACAGCATTCTCAGCAAGCCATGGAAGCATGACTCAAACATTTGGGCGTAGGTGAGGTTCTTTTTTCTATAAGGGAAATAGTCTTCCATTTGGGAGCCTTTATCTTGTCCTGATATCCCATTTTTAACCTCCTTCACTTGTAAAACAACCTTGATTGAACAATCATTTCGTAACATACAAGCAAAAAAAAAAAATGTTCTAAGAGACAGGGTTTCACTCTGTTGCCCAGGCCGGAATGAAGTGGTACAATCACAGCTCACTGCAGCTTCAAACTCCTGGGCTCAAGCCATCCTCCCACATCAGCCTTCTAAGTAGTTCATGCACCACCATGCCCAGCACAAGCAAATCTTTTAGCCTAGTGTTAACAAAAGAACACAGGGAAGATGTCCAATTTAACAGAAAATACACATGGCCTAAACAGTTCCATCATTATTGGAGTTTTGGAAGTAAAGTATGCGATATATACAACACTTTCCTATTGTCACTTTTAGATCACATTGGCAGGGCCATTGAATTGATCAAAACATCAGAACATGCCTAAACAAATTCTCATATTTTTATAATTAGTTTCAAGATCCACTTAGAGAAATGATACACCAGGGGTTTCCCATCTGGGTTGCAGTCAAGTTATTAAAAAACAGGAATCAATATTCAACTCAACAGAGAATTCAGGGAATTCAAATCCAGAGAAGAGAAAAACTAAGTCTCTTCTAATTAAATTTATCCCCGAAGCCTCTGATAAGGACAGCAGCTAGATGGTATAAATTTTAAAAACCTATTAAACTCTTCAGGGTTTTCTCTAGCCGTTACAACAGTGACACATCTAATGACAGCTGGTGGCAAAAGCCTGAAGAAGGAAGGAAACATTCATGAGGAAAGCCACAAGCCACTGCTAACAGAGTGATTACCTAATTGACAAGCATGTTATGGGCCAACTATGTCTGGCCCAAATTCATATGTTGAAGCTAACTCCTTAATGCGATGGTATTTGGAAAGGGAGGCCTTTGGGAGGTAATTAAGTTAGATGAGGTCATGGAGGAGGACCCCTCATGTTAGGGTGAGTGCCCTTATGAGAGAAGACACAGAGGTATCTCTCTCCACACGCATGCACCAAGAAAAGACTTGTGGGTACACGTTGAGACAGTGACCGTCTACAAGCCAGGACAAGAGCCCTCAGCACATACCAAACCTGCAGAACCTTCATCTTGGACGTCCAGCCTCCAGAACTGTGAGATAAGAAATTTCTGTTGTTTCAACCACTTAGTCTACGGTATTTGAGTACAGAAGACCAGGGAGAGCAAGACGAGGCATTATCCCATGACAGCCTTGGGACAGACATGGGAAGCAGAGGAGGTCAAGCTTGGTGAGGACACACACTATCCAGGCCAGCAAGTCATGGACGTGGGACTTGAACCCAACCCCACATGCTCCAAAGTCAGCACTGGCCACTATTATGTCAGGCTGCCTGGCCACCCTTTTGAGGACACGTCCCACTCATCTTCACGCACTCATCTCTCGGCCTGGCCTGGACACAGCAGCAGGTGCTCAATAAATGTTGAATGCCACCGGCAGGCTATGATAGGATTCTACTCTCTCCTTTGGCGACTACAGCCTACCTAGGCAATGTTTACTTCAGCCCCTACCTGCTTCATTAATTTATTGACAGCCTTGGGCTTATTTTCAAAATAGATATTAGGTTATGACCTGTGGATGTCAAGGTAGATTGCTGCTGTGATATACAATGACTATCACAAACTCTGTTTCAAAAGTTTGCCACAGAGGATTATTCTATTTGTGCTTTTGTTTGATTGTTTTTAGTTGGTGTCTCACTATGTTGCCTAGGTTAGAGTGTGGAAGGACAATCATGGCTCACCCCAGCCTTGACCTCCTGGGCTCAGGTGATCCTCCCACCTCAGCTCGAGTAGCTGGGACTACAGTTGTATATCACCACACCCAACTAATTTTTTGAATTTTGTAGAGAGGAGGTCTCACTATGTTGTGCTGTCTAGTCTTGAACTTCTGGGCTCCAGCCACCCTTCCACCTTGGCCTCCCAAAGTGCTGGGATTATAGGCATGAGCCACCACACCCAGCTGGATTATTCTGTTTAAACAAAGATTTACTCATAACTGTTTGAGTCAAATCATACCCTGCACAGCAAACCGCCAAAAGCGTAAGAGCTCATTTATGCAATGGATTCGACTAGTGACTACAGCTATGAAGCACGTCTGAGGGTGGACTCCAACACCCAACCGAGGGTGGGCGCCAAGATGCAGAGCCAAGCTCATGAGTGAGATCAGAGAATGAGCACGTGCTCAATGCAAAGGTGTCAGGACTGCTCATCCTGGGGCAGGCCGTGGCACGACTTGGTGACCCAAAAAGGCTCAAGACTCATGGGAACAGCCTAAGGAGAATGTTACGGGCATATTTGTCAGTTTTAGAAAGCTAGAAAAGATGAACATATGGAGTTCAGTTGAGTAATGACCAAGCTAAACAAAAAAAATCTGAGCATAGTTGAAAGATTTTTCCCTAAAACAGGAACAGACACCCTCCAGTTGGGTCTGAAAAGGAATGATTTCAAAGCTGTGGTTCTTGGAGTATGGGCCCCAGACCAGCAGCACTGGCATCACCTGGAGACTTGGAAGAGATTCTGTGCCTTCATCCTAAACCCACAGAAGCAGAAGCTCAGAGGAGGGGTCCAGCAATCCACAGCGTAACAAGCCCTCAGGTGATTTTGGCGCAGACTCAAGTTTGTAGAGACGAGAGTTCACTATGTTGCCCAGGCTGGTCTCCTAAAGTGCTGGGATTACAGGTATGAGCCACTGCACCCAGCCAGATTATTCTATTTAAACAAACATTTACTCAAAACTTAAAATGTTAAAGCAATGTAATGAGGTGACACTCTTCCTGTATTTCTTCATCTATAAAGTAGGAGGACTTGAATAAATGACCAGAATCACATCCCCATCTGAGGTCCACAGATCTAAGGCAAAGTCCAAGGTAAAGAATAAAACCCTGGGGTTTAGGAGATTATTTCTGAATGCAGAATTAACGGGACTGTACAATTTTTTAAAAAATCTGTCTCTCTCCCCTCGAGGGATTTAAAATAAAAAAAAGAGATTCTAGATTTGTTTAACCAAATGCTTCTGTTAAATTATCTCATTAAAAGCATTCACTCCATTTCAGTAAAGGCAGTGAGCGTTAAGCTGGTGGTGGTGATGCTTGTGACCTTAACAGCTTGTCAATCTGTTGGGTTTTTAAATTAAAACTTGCATCTCAGCCGGGCTCGGTGGCTCAGCCTGTAATCCTGCACCTTGGGAGGCTGAAGTGAGTGGATTGCCTGAGCCCGTGGGTTCGAAACCTGCCTGGGCGACTTGGTGAGACCTCATCTCTACAATAAATCAAAAATTAGCCGGGCGTGAAAAAACAAACAACCATAACTTGAGACTGAGATGAAGTGTTCACTTCGATCTGTGTTATTTCTGGAAACAGGTTTTCTTCCCAAGTTATCCTTGTTGTTGTTGTTGCCTAGGCTGGAGTGCAGTAGCATGAGCAATGCTAAGTGTATTCTTTTATCTCCAAATCTGGGTTGCGTACAAGAAATGGCCCTCGGCTATGCTCTTATGACTTTGTGAAGAGTCTAAAATACACCGTACATGGCTCTGATTTATAGAGATGAGTTGGACAGTAAGTAGGAATCGATGCTTTAAAAAAAACTCCTGTGAATTCAGGAAATTCTGCCTTTATCATTCTCTGCTTTTTAAAACATTTCAACTAGATTTTTAAAAATTGTCAAGTAACATATGCACATGTTAAAAACTTCAAATTACAATGAATATAAGTGAAAAGAGTTTCCCTCCCACCCTGGGCTCACAGTTCTAATCCTCAGGGATAACACTGAACAGTTTTGAAATATCCTTGCATACATTTAGAGAGTACCGATTTGCTTTAATTTCACCTAATGATACAGTTTGTTCATCTTTCTTTATCTATGTTCCAGTTGTCTCCAGCTGCTTCACAAACTGCTCTAAAACTTAGTGGTTAAGCCCAGCAGCAATCATTGTGTTTTCTCTCAGGAGTTCTGCGGCTCAGGAATTCCAGAAGGGCTTGGCTGGGAGGCCCGGCCGTCTGCAGTCAGAGCATGGCTGGAGCTGGAACAGCACATTGCTGAAGCAGCTCAGGGTTGGCTGGCCTCTCTCCATCTCACATTGTCTCAGGGCTCCTCCGTGCAGTCCTTCCACATGGGCACGTGTAGACCCACTCGCAGCACGGGCCTCCGCACACAGGAGTCAGACCTGTTAGCTGTAAGCTTCCCTGGCTACCTGGTAACTTTCCCAACAGCGAGGTGGATGCTAGAACCCCTCTGACGCCCTAGCCTCAAAACTCACATAGCATTCCTTCTATCCGACTCTGGTGGTCAAAACGGTCACAAAAGCACACTCAACTTCAAAGGCAGAGGGCACAGGCCTCATCTCCACGGAGAAGGGGCATGTCAAAGGGCTGCCATCTTTGGAGAGCCCATCTGTCACTGAACCAAAAAATCTACCTCCTTTTCGAAATAGCCCAGTACTACATTTTATGGATGCATTATATTTTAATTAACCAGTCCCTCATCATCCATCAAAGCTTTATGCTTATTCTTTATTATTGTTTGGCACTCTCTTCAGACGTCCCTACTCTCTCACTCATCTGCTACAGTAGGCAAGCTATGGCCTACAGGCCAAGGGGCTTTGTAAATAAAGTTTTATTAGAACACAGCCACATCCATTTGTTTACATTCTGTCTGTGGTTGCTTCCCTGTTATCAATGGCAGAGTAACTGAGCGGCTGTATGGTTCCAACAGAGACTGCACGGTCTGCAGTCTAAAATATTTACTGTCTGTTCCTTTGAGAAAAAGTTTACTGCTCCAGCTCATCACTGTTGAAACAGATAAGGTCCTGATATCAGTCACTTATATATCTCTACCAATTGGTGCATTTTAGGGA